TTCATTGGAAGGACTGATGCTGAAGCTGAAACTCCAGTACTTTGGCCACCTCATGCGAAGAGTTGACTCATTGTAAAAGACTCTGATGCTGGGAGGGATTGGGGGCAGGAGGAGAAGGGGACAACAGAAGATGAGATGGCTGGATGGCATCACCGACTCGATGGACATGAGTTTGGGTAAACTCCGGGAGTTGGTGATGGACAGGGAGGCCTGGCGTGCTGTGATTCATGGGGTCACAAAGAGTCAGACCTGACTGAGCAACTGAACTGAACTGGAGTTTTTCATTGTATGCATATGCCATGTATTCTTTATCCATTCATCTGTTGGACACTTAGATTCATTTCATATCTTGGTGATTGTAAATAATACTGCTATGAACACTGGAGTGCATGTATCTTTTCAAATTAAAGTTTTTATTTTCATCTGGTATACACCCAGGAGTGGGATTGCTGGGTCACATGGGTAGTTCCATTTTTAGTTTGAGAAACTCCACACTGTTTTCCACAGTGGCTGCACCAATTTACATCCCCATCAAGTGTAAAAAGATTCCCCTTTTCTTCACAACCTATTTGTTATTTGTGTTCTATTTGATGAAAGCCATTCTGACATTGGTGATATCTTATTGTGTTTTTTCTTAATTGATGTATAGTTGACTTGAGTCAGATACAACTGAAACGACTTAGCATGCCATGTTGTTTTAGTTTCTAGCATATAGCAAAATAATTCAGCTAGATACATACATTTTCCTTTACAGTTTATTATAAGGTATTGAATATAGTTCCCTGTGCCATATGGCGCAGACTGGTAATATTTTAATTTTACTATTCCTTTATTTATGAACTGGAATGGATCTATAAAGAAAAACTTTCCCTTATAAATTATTCCCTTAGGTTATCCTGAGGTGAAATTCTTCTAGGAAAGGCAACATAATACTTTATTCATTCCCTATTTAGTTTCTGTTCTCAGAATAATGTGTTTGTTTCCGAGCATTCTCCAAAGGGAACAACGAGGCTTTTTATTCTGTTGCTGTAAGTATTATGAACACTGGATTTTTACACATTTGATGTGTTCCAATAAAATATACGTGCTATTAAATTTGATGTGGCCCAATAATAAATATATATATACACACATATATTCAATATGGATATTATTACTAAAGACTTGATCATATAAAACAGATTAAGATTTCTCTGCAGTTATTTTTGTCCCTAGGATACTTTGCAGTAGGAATATATAGATGAACTTCTATGTTGTCAAGACCTTTGGAATCATTTGTGTGTGTGTGGTTAATTTACCATTTTTCTCTTTGAGACCCATGGACTGTAGCCCACCAGGCTTCTCTGTCCATGGCATTTACCAGGCAAGAATACTGAGTGGATAGCCATTTCTGTCTCCAGGGTGATCTTCCCGACCCAGGGATTGAACCCAGGTCTCCTGCATTGCCGGCAGATTCTTTGCCATCTGAGCTACGAGGCAAGCACCTTCTATATAGTTAGATTTGCCTTATTTTGATTTCAATTAAAATTTTTTTTGCAGTTTGTTTTGTTTCCAAAGTCTGTGCCTCAGAATAAAGTACTTTTCTAAAAAGGCTAGCTTCTTTCCTATCTTCTCTCTCTCCTCACAGGTAACCATTATTATTAGTTTTCCTTTATTCTTTGCTTTAAAATAATATATGTGAATACTTTTCTGTTTATTATTATTCCTCCCCTTCCTTCGAGAAAAGATACTTGGTGGTGGTTTTTTTTTTTCCCCTCAACTTGGCTGTTCTCAGAACATGCTTTTTTTTCATGCTTAGCCTGTATATCCTGGTAATTGTGCCCCAGTAGTATATAGATACTGTCTTTACTCATTTTACAGTTGCATACTATTCATATTTACATATGCAAATGACATAGTACTTTATTCAGCCTTTCATGATTTTCAGTCTTTTTCATAATAGGCTTATGTGTTCCTAGTCTTCTGCTGTTACAGAGAGTTTTATCATTAATAGCCTTGTGCACACAATCTTCTATGTTTTTGTTAGTGTTTCTTTGGGATATGTTTCTAGAAGTGGGATTTTTGTATCAAACAAAAATTCATTTGTAATTGTGCTAAATATCCCCACATTCTTCCCCATGTGCATGATGTTTTGGCATTCCCACCAGAAATGTATATCTGTTTCCCCACAGCTTTGCCAAAAGAGTATGTTTGTCAAGCTTTTAGGTTTTTTCCTACCAGGTATATAAGAAATGACAATTCATTATGGTACAATTTGCACATTTTAAAATTGTGAGCATCTTTTTATATCCTCAAGGGCCATCTGATTTTCTTCTTCTCTTTGTTTCCCCTGCACTGCGCAGCTTTTGGGATTCTAGTTCCCAGACCAGGGATTGAAACTGTACCCTTGTCAGTGAAAATCCTAATTACTGGACTGCCAGAGAATTCCCTGATTTTCTCTTTTCAGGTGTTGCAGGGTACAGAATCTGCCTGCCAATGCAGGAGATGCAAGAGAAAGATGTGGGTTTGATCCCTGAGTTGGGAAGATTCCCTGAAGTAGGAAATGGCAACCCACTCCAGCATTCTTGCCTGGGAAACCCCACAGACAGAGGAACCTGGCAGGCAAAGGCCCATGGATCACAAAGAGTCAGACATGACTGAGCACGCATGCACAGGATGGACATGAACCATCTGTTTATATTTCTTAGTCATTAAGAAAAATCTCTTTTTGAAGCTCTTTATACACCAGAGCTATTAATCCTTTTTCTGTGATATAAGTTCCAACTATGATGTGAGAAACATGTTCAATTTTTCCTTTTCCATACAGCTATTCCATTATCTTAACAATAACTATTAAGAAATGGAAAATGGTAATGTTTAAAGGAGACCAACGCAGTAGGAATGGATCAGTGGGAGGGAGGGTCATGAAAATTAGGGTGGTAAAGTTGGGCTTCCCTTGTAGCTCAGTCGGTAAAGATTTGCCTGCAGTAGGAGACCCGGGTTCGATCCCTGGGTTGGGAAGATCCCCTGGTGAAGGAAATGGCAACCCACTCTAGTATCCTTGCCTGGGAAATCTCATGGACAGAGGAGCCTGGTGGGCTGCAGTGGGGTTGCAAAGAGTCGGGCACGACTGAGCAACTAACACGTACTTACTTAAAGCTGGTAGGGGCCAAATCACATAAAATCTTATAGTATAGTTTAGAAATTTTGGTTTTACTCTTTGTAGCAGTAGACAGACATTCAATAGTAATATATATCAGGGGATGTTTGAGCAAACTTCCTTTGGCTAGGTGTGGTGGTGGTGGGTCGGTTTCTTTATCCAAGCGGGAGTGAAGACAAGCCACCAGGAGTTAAGTAGGAGCTAAGGTCCCAAGGTATGCAGCTGAATTTATTCTTGGAATATTTATTCAGATCCCTACATCAACTGAGTTTTGTTGTTCCACCGTGGTCCCCATAGGTATTGCTAAAATTTCAACTGGTTGCATCTGAACTGCAGTAGCTGTCTGCATGTATGTTGCCTGTAATGTGGGAAGCTACTTTCTCCTGTGGGAAGCAACTCGACCGATTGCAGGTCTAGAAATCCTTTATGCAACTGTTTGGAACAGACTGCATGCACGTCATATCACAGTGAGATGTACAGGGATACTAGCCGTAGATTAGGTTCCCTTCTGTTCTTCCCATCAATTGCAGTAATTAGTAACTGCCTCACTTGTTAACATTCCTTCTTTAAATAGTCCACAGTGAGTTCAGCCTAGAAGCTGAATCTTGCTTATGACAGACTTTAGTAAATATATATCTCTAGCTTTACTGTTCAAGATACACTGGAACATTATTGGACATCTCCTCTAACAATAGGAAAATACTGGACATTAACAAAGGGGTTGAGAAATTTATGCCAGTGTAATTCAATTAATGCTACATTCAGTGTCTCTGTAAAGATAATGGCCTATAGGATCAGAAAAACTCTATTAATGTCACCTAACTGGCAAAGGAAAAGTAATCTGCATCACAGGAAATACAGCGGCTGAGTTAAGACTTTTAAGGGTCAGTATCTAACTTGTATATGACTTCCCAGGTGGCTCAGTGGTAAAGACTCAGCCTGCCAATGCAGGAGACATGAGTTCAATCCCTGGGTCGGGAAGATCCCCTGGAGAAAGAAATGGCTACCCACTCCAGTATTCTTCCCTAGGGAAAACCATGGATAGAGGAGCCTGGTAGGCTACAGTCCATGGGGTCGTGAAGTGTCGGACAC